ACACGGCCATTCCTTTGGTTCTACGGGTTGATGCCAACATGGTTGCTAATGGGAAGGAAGTTTAAAAGGAAAAGGCCACACGTGCCCCAGGGGACAGTTTAGGATCACCTTTTCTCCTCTTCTAGTTGGTTGAGCAGTTCCACTTTCTCCCTGTCGGCAGCTTCCACCATGGCTCGCAGCTGGTCCATCTTGGCCTCCAGCTCCAGGACATGCTGGGGAGGCAAGGGTGTCAGTGAGCGGCCTCTCTCTGACCCAGACAGACCCAGGGACGCCTCCAAAGAGCTACGGCTAAGTGGCACCATTGTGGGCTGGCGTTCCTCCAAAACCTTTCCACGTTAGAATGCATTCTATGATTTTTCATAGGTTATTGTCAGCCGCATTCCCGGAGGGCGAGGATGGAAACCTCACCATGATGGCAGCAGAGGGCAATGTTACAACAACGCCCATCTATGGAAGCTAAAACTCATGCAGAGGATCATCTACAAAACAGAAGTTGCAATCACAGGTGACGTCCAATTGAGCCAGCACTGACAGGCCAAAAGACCTGGACGTAGAGACCAAGAGGCTAAGGTGCACTCAAGAAGAACAAAACTCCGCCTTTATGATGATGCAAACTGGGACTCCAGGTCACAGCTTTCAAACAAGCCCAGCAAAGACATTTCCAGTGCTCCCAGGACTAACTCCCGGCACCAGGAGGTAGTTCGGCCTCCTCCCTCAACTTAGAACCTGCCACCATCTCTGCAACGCGATCAGCTTAGAACCTGTCACCATCACCACAAGGCCAGTGCCAGACTTCACCTGGTCGTGTCCGTCCCGGGCCAGGGCTAGCTCCTGCTCTATTTCCCCCACGTGGCTCGTGGCCTTGGCCACCTCCGCCCTCTCTAGATCCCGTTCGGCCAGCAGCTGCTCAATGTGCTGCTGCTTCTCTTTCAGGGCCTCCTGGAGGGCGGTGGTGCCGGAGATCTTCCTGGCGTACCGGGAGGAGGTTTCAGTCAACTGCAAAGGAAAGTGAAAGAAGTGAAGGGTGATGAGGTACGAGGGACGTGAGCAGGGAGTGATGCATGCAGGGTGGGTGCCTCCTCAGCAAAGCGAAAGCGCTGCCCCGGCCCTCAGGCTTGCCAACGACTCAGAAAGGCTCTTCATCAAGAAAACAAGACAGCATGCGCCTCCTGTCTGTAAATTCCACAAAGAACAATCCAAAGAGGCTGTGGACCAATCAGGAAGATGTCTAGAAGAATGAGTGGCTCAAGTCAAAGCTACCCTGAGCTCAGCTGACAGGGCCTTACAGGAATCTAGAAAAATTCCACAGAACCCATTTTAACATGTTTCTCTCCACTCCACTCCGACCTAAGCTTCACTTATAGCTGTCTTCTTGTTATGACATTTTGGGCAATCTTTTGATCTTTAGACTCGAAGTTGAGACCAATAGATGCCCCTCTGCATCACAAACCTTCCTTCAATTGATTAAATAGTTGGACCGTTGCCAGGACTTTCTTCCTCTTTGTTTCAGAGTGAAAGGCAGAGGCGGTCTCGCCAGCAGTGTAGCCTGAGGAGCTGAATGCCCATCCCCACAGAGATTTATAAGGACAAGATGAACAGGACCGCTGACCTGACTTCAGGTGCGTGGAGTGGGTGAGCGTGTGTGCGTATGTCTGGGCAAGGACACACACAAGAGGAAGAAAGAAAGAAACATGAGACAAAAAGGAGAAAGAGATTTATGGACAAAGAGAAGTAGGGGAGGGAAGGAGGGTGAGAAAAAAGGGGGCACAGAGAGGGAAGGGGAGGACAATGAGAAGTGGGGGAGAGTGACTAGGAAAGGAGTGGATTAGGAGGGTCTCAGCTCGGTCACCTGTTTCACATGCCCGAATCCTCCATCTTGAGGCTAACATCTCATAAAAGCACAGAGCAAAGAACCTCCTATTGCATGTTAACAGATAATTGGGCAAGTCGACTACTATTCTTCCAAGCCCAGCTTTAGAGGCTGGTGGTTGAGAAAGGGCCTCACGGCTTGGCGAGAGTGCGTGCAGGGCTGGTCCCTCAGCGACTGCTAGGTCGCGGGTCACTGCAGCCCTAACTCCACCTTCTGCAGTTGGGGCCTCACTGGTGGCTTGAATGCTCTTCTCTTCCTCAGTCTGAGGACGGGGATCTGCCATCCCCTCCAAGTGGGGCAATTTGATGACTAGGAGAGGTAAGGATCCAATCAGACCCGAGAAGTCCTTAGTGGCGTCTATTTAGTGAAATTGCTTGAATTACACATACTGGGGAAGGAGGAATTCCTGTTCTCTTTTTTACATTTGACCTTGACTTTCCAGCTTCAGTACATGTGTGGTTGGATTATACGTTCCCATACCAACATTTCTTCCTGAAGACACTAAATCTGAGGTTCCTGCAGAGCTGCCCCAGGGGACTGCAGCAAACGGCAGTGAATTTCAAGGGAAACTGCGACACCTGTTGGACACCATGCAAACTACAGCTTGAGGCAATTCTGTTTCAGCAGGCTGTGGCTAGAAATACTAAACACTAAAGATTTATTCAAGGGTTTAGGGTTTACAAACTGGAAACACGAGTAGAAAATACCCAGGTGTCCCTCTGAAGAAGAAATAAAATCTAAGAGTTCTCACAGTGCACATTCCTGAGAAGGATCCGTTCTGCATCCTTAGCCTCTGGATGGGTCCGACATGGCCATCTTCCGGACGTCCCGTGGTCTGGCTAATGGACATCAGATGGTCTGGACGCGTGAACATTCTTTCCTAAGAAGTTTAGGTTCCTCGGCTAATTAATGAATTGCTTCCTCGTGCCTCAGCTAACACGATTTCAGTAATTTAGCCGCTTGACCACAGTGACTCCATTTTCTTTCTTCATGCCTCAGGTGGTCATACATATTCCTTTAGGTGACGTCATGTCTTTCCGAAGCTGGGTTTGGGCTACTGCCATGAGCAAAAGCAAGGACTATGCCAACAAAAATCAGTGGTGCTCAGGGAGATTCCAAGATCTGACAGCTGCCCAACAGCAGCATACGGCCTGGTAGTGGTGTGTGATGGTTACTCAAGAATGAATTTAAAATAGTTGTCCTTTTAATTAATAGGAGTCATTTTTTTAAACAGCTACCAACTCCTTGAGACATAAATATTAAGCTATTTAAACCTAATTACTTAATAAACAGAACTGTCAGCTACTTCTCCTGACCTAGGGCCACCATGAAAAAATAACCCAGACACTGAAGGGGCTGTGAACCTAGGAGGCCTGGGAATCTCTGTGCCCAACACTTCCAGATCACTCTGCAGGAAAGGCTTCAGACTTTTATATATGAGTAGGATTCTGTTGCCGAGATACATTTCTAGGAAGGCACATTTCAAATTTTCTACATTCTTGGCATAATCTTTTATCGTGCTTTTTGACTTAGAAACCACAGCTACCCTGTATAAAAATATTTTTTTAAATAAGCTGTTTTGCAAGGCGAGAAGATTCCTTTCTCTTTTGTTGGCGTCCTCCCCTAAATGAGTTGTCAGAATTGGTCTGAGAGTAAGAAGGGAGGCTGGGGGGAGCGAGGAGAGCTTGGCTATTTTCCAAGGAAATGGACTCATGATTATAACGTAACAGAAATGATTCAAGAAAGAATTCCTAACCCAGACCTGACACTCTGTGGAATCGTCCGGGATTGACAAAGCAGATGAGACGTCCACGTTGGAGTTTGCGGACCCCTGGAACAAGGCGTTGTCGAAACTGAGGTTTTCCACCTCCACTTCGTTGCGTCTGTCAACCTTTTCTATAAAGTCCATTTGTAACTGTTCTGTGGAAGGTGCAGACTTTCTCTTCAAATGCAAAATGAAACAGTCCAAGCGCGTTTTTACTGAACTGATGAGGAAGAAGAGCGCCTGGGCTGGCGGCCAGAGCAGCACAACCCCCACTTCTAGGGCAGATCCCACTGCCTTGCCTTTCCCTGCCCGACATCACTTGAAAGAAGGCAAACCGAGATCACACCACTTAGCATCCTAGCTCCTGTCCGTAGGTCACCATCATCATGCAGAGATCCCGACCTCAGCCTGGAGGACAACACTGCCATTTCAAAATTCAACAGTACTTGCCTCTCTTCAAGTAGATAAGCGTAATGGCAGGGGCCGACGCCAAAAAGGCACTGCTTTGACCCTGATGAAGTGCGCATTATCAACCAGAATGAGACGCTGCTATTTTATTTTAATTCTGATGACTCTATGTTTAGTGATCTAAATGGGGGGAGTGGGGAGAGGAGGGGGGTGGGAGGAGGACATAGAGAGAGAAGACAAAACAAAACATAGCTCTTCCAATCATCCTTTTAAGTCCTAGAAGTTCCCCTCTGTGTCCTCTGGCCCAGGTTGGGAACACTCCACACATTATCTGCTTTCAGAGGGTTAGACTGTATTCATGTCAAAATTGCAAGAACATGGCTTTGCTCAAAATACTTTAGTTCCTAAAACTGTTTGAAAAAAGAGACCTACATCCTTAAGGAAAAGGAATACCACCACCCCCAATTTTCCAGTCTTTCTTGTGCCCAAAGTAATTTCTGAGAAAAGCAGTCATCTCGTCGGTAGTGGCTAGATTCACCCAGAACTGCTACACCGTGAAGCCTTAGGAATCGGAAAGGGGTTGTTAAAAACTATTTTAAAATGTGTACTCTTGCTAGAGTTTAATTCTGTGACCCTGGCAAGGACATTCACAAGCTACAGCTAACGTTTAGCACGAGGGTGAGGGGCGACTTAGTATTTCTAGAAGCAGAGCAGGTGCACTGGCTGCCAGCGTGGGCCATGCCGGGAGGCAGAGACATGCAGTGAGGAGAGAGAGGCTTACTAATCCTGTGCGACTGGGCTTGCTGCTCACGGAGGAGGCCACCGAGCTCAGGGAGCTGAGAGAGGACGCGGACGGGCTGCGCTTCAGGCTGGCGGGCGTGGTGGCCATCACTCGCCTCACCGCAGCGGCCTTGGCTTTGGCGGGCGTGGTGGAAGGGAAGCCGATCTTGGTCACTTTGTGGACGGGAGCAAACAGGCCATATTTGGGTTGACACTGAAAATACCTTGAGAGAACAATAATAAGGAAAGTGACAAAAAAAACTTCATTAGGAGAAACTGCAATGAGAAAGCGCTCCTAACTCCTAAGTCGTGACTGGTTTGCTGTCAATTCTACCGGTCAGCTGGGGGAAGGTGGGGTGACGCACAGCAGGCAGGGTTCACACGGATGAAGGCTGCTAAATAACCTCAGCAATGTTTTAGAAAACACATCATAAATAATAACGTCGTGCACAGAGGATGAATTGCTCACCGGGTACTAAGGTAACAAAGGGAATGAATATTTCTACCACCAGATAAACATACAGCAGAGGAGTTCAGCAATACAGTGATCCACTTAATAAAACCTTGCCAGACAAAGGGAGAAGGAAATCGAACAAGTTTCTAATGCTGGCAGCTCTTCAAGACACTCATTTCCATGTTATTAGACACAACGGGTGAGATCTGCTCGGGCACCTTTTCGTGCAAGAGTGAGACAAGATGGTGCCCAATTCCAAACAAACCTTGTGCCAGCAACAGCCCCGTCATTCTTCCCAAGAGGCTCATCTAACTCCACACCACACCACTCCCCCTTGGCAAAGTCCGTCTCCCCGAGAAACCGGACTACACCAGCCTTAGTGCCACCGACCTGCAAGAAGAGAGCGTTAAAGTGAGGAGATGAGCGTCGTACCAACACTTCATCTTCTGCAGTTCCCACCAAGGATGGCGCACCACACACCCTCATTTCTATCAGCAGGCTTCCTTCCCTTCTCCACTTCCTTTTGGTTTATTGTTCTTTCCTTCCTAATTTCTTCTTTTTTTGTTATTCTCACCCAGGGATATTTTCCATTGATTTTTAAAGAGAGTGAAAGGGAAGTAGAGAAGAGAGAGAGAGAGAGAGAGAGAGAGAGAGAGAGAGAGAGAGAGAGACATGGATGCGAAAGAGACACATCAATTGGTTGCCTCCCACACGCACCCCAGGCATGTGCCCTTGACCAGGAATCGAATCCTTGACCCTTTGGTGCATGGGCCAACGCTCTAACCACTGAGCAACAAAGGATAGGGCTCCTTCCTAATTTCTTAAGATGTATACTGTTTTTTGTCTTGCTTTTTAATGCTAAAGGCATTTATTTCTACTTTTTTCTCTGAATATAACTTCTTATGAGTTTGGGATATTTCCCCAAACTCATCCAACTCTGTTTAATCCTTTGTTTTTATAAAAGTTTAAAAACATTTTGCCCGGCTGGTGTGGCTCAGTGGTTGAGCACTGACATATGAACAACCAAGATGTCACAGTTTAATTCCCCATCAGGTCACATGCCCAGGTTGCAGGCCTGATCCCCAGTAGCGGGTGTGCAGGAGACACCTGATGGATGTTTCTCTCTCATTGACGTTTCTATCTCTCTATCCCTCTCTCTTCCTCTCAAAAAAAAAAAAAATCAATAAAAACATATATTTAAAAAACTGCTTTAACAGATAGGGTGGAGTCTATCATATGTTAGCAGCTAGCTTGCTCATGCCAATTAGACTCCAGGACTAGATTTGGCACATCTGACCTTCTAACACTCTTACGGCATTCGTGGAATCTACAAGCAATCACCTCTGTAACACTGGCCTCAGTTTCCTCCCCACTCCTACACCACAGCACCCAGAGCAGGTCGAAACAACATCATGCGAGCAGAGCTCAGCACATTAGCTAAAGAAGATGAAATCTCCTCAGCGAATCTGCTGAATTCTTTGCGGGTGAGTCTAAGTCACTGTCAAGATGACTGTTCTTCCAAGAGGCATCTAACAGGCTGGGGGCAGTAAAATCTCCAAGCAAACCATGGGCTTCACTCGGATCGGAAGCGTTACAGAAAATCACCACAAGCCCAGCCGGGTGTGGCTCATCAGTCGAGCGTCAACCCAGGAACCAAGAGGTTACCGGTTGATTCCCGATCAAGGCATATGCCCGGTTGCGGGCTTGATCCCCAATGTGGGGTGTGCAGGAGGCAGCCAATCAATGATTCTCTCTCATCATTGATGTTTCTCTCTCTCCCTCTCCCTTCCTTTCTGAAATCAATTAAATTATTTTTTTAAAAGAGCAACTGATGAAAAAAAATAAAAATGTACTCAGTTGATTTTTTTAAAAAATCACCACAAAACAGACTGGCAATACTTCTCTAGATGCAGGTAATACCATATACATTTACCCTCGGGGGGAAATGCCATGCCACTACATTTGTTTACTTCCCAGAATGCGCAGTTTTCTTATACTTTTCCCCCCACCCAAACCTAAAATTCCTTTTTGTGTGTGTGTGTGTGTGTGTGTGTGTGTGTTTATTGATTTCAGAGAGAAGAAGGGAGAGGGAGAAAGAGAAATATCAATGATGAGAAAATCATTGACCAGTTGTCTCCTGCACAACCCCTACTGGGGATCAAACCCACAACCCGGGCATGTGCCTTGACCTGGAAGCAAACCCCCTTCTTGTAAACTCCTGTGAGAGGTAAGAGCAGGGATCAATTCTGCAGGGCTAATGAGCGGGTCTGCAAACAGGAAATAGGAAACAGTGAATCCTTTTTAAACTCTCCAATCTATTCATTATCAAGTCCCAAACAAGCCATTTAATCTCACTGGCCTGGGTTTATAAAGCTATAAAAAGTCCAATGAGTGGTAATAGGGCTTGTTTCACAGGAATTTTGTGAGCAACAAAGATTTTGTAAGGTGGCTTCTTGATGACATCATTTTGAGCCTCCCCATCTATAACATATGATGGTAAGTAAACCCCCTGAAAAAAGTAATGTGACAAGGGCAGATGATGTAGAGCAGATATTCTCTTAGGAACTCCCATTTGACTAGAACTTGAATTGATTTTTTTTCACTTTAGTTGGTGGGGAAATAGAGGTTCTTGTGCATCATTAAAGCAAGAAAAAAATGTTTTTTAAAACTTATAAAGACATCTAAGTCCACTTCTGAGCCTGTTTTGTCAAGTAAAATTATCTTAATATTTGTAAGTTATAAACTCATTCTTTTGGCTAAACTGGGAGATAAAACTAGAATCTATCACGGCAAACTTATACTCACAACCCTTTTCAAACTACGTGGCGAGGTTCTAATCCGCAGCATGTTTACACATCAGCTGAGCCACTAAAAAAGCTGATTCCTTTCTCTGTTAGTGAGTGGTCATTCCTCCAGAACAGACTCTGAGCCTGTATTTCTAACCACTCGTCAGTGATTACATTTCAGTTCACCACGACGACTTTGGAAGGTTTCTGGACTCACCAGTACTCTGTCTCCAATTTTGAGTTCTCGCTCTCCTTTCTTGACCGAGCCAGCCTCCGAGAGGTTGGAGATGGATTCACTGGCAGTTTTTGTGAGGTTGCTGATGGGCGGTGTAGTTGAAGGTTCCTTTGCTGTTGCCTGGGACGACTTCTGGGGAATATGTGAGGGGGTGGCTGGGGAGGAGGCTGTCATGCTGGCTGCAGAAGTGGACAGAGGCGAGGTCGTTCTGGAAGCGTGAGTTGTCTGCAGGCCACTGGCTTCATCTTCAGCCTGCACCTTCCTTGTCAACTTGGAAGGTCGGGTGAATATGCCCTTTAAAGGTTCACACTGGAAATACCGGACTCCTGCCACTGAGCCATCATTCTTGCCTATGGGTTCATCTAGAACAATCCCGGCCCACTGGCCTGGTGCAAACTGAGTTTCACCCAGAAACTGTATAAATCCAGGCTTATTTCCGTTCACCCAAACTCGCTCCCCAACTCGGAAGTCGTCCACAAATTCCTCTTGTGTCTCAGAGGAAGGGGCGCCTGATGCTTTTTCACTGGATATTGCTTTTTCTGCTGGAGCTGCGACTGAAAACACAAGAAATGATCAGAAGAGATTCGGTTTCACACTCAAACAGACCTGAAGGGAAATACACCGGAGAAAGCCAAAGTGCCCTGTTTTTCTTCCTTCACTTCTTTTTTTTTAGCAAGGAGGCAAAAACTACTGGCCCCATCACTACCATGTTCAATGCTGTTGAAGCTCAGTGAGCTGATGAGATTTAATCCTTACCTGCAATTAAGAGAGGATGAAGTTAAAACAAGAAAAAAAAAATGTAGTCCTTGCCCAGCTGGTGTGGCGCAATAGTTGAGCGTCGACCTATGAAAAGGAGGTCATGGTTTGACTCCCAGTCAGGGCGCATGCCTGGGTTGCGGGCTCGATCCCCAGTAGGGGGAGTGCAAGAGGCAGCTGATCAATGGTTCTCTCATCAGTGATGTCTCTTTCTCTCTCTCTCTCTCTCTCTCTCTCTCTCTCTCTCTTCTCTGCCTCTGTCTCTCTCTCTCTCTCTCCCCCTCTTCCTTCCTCTCTGAAGTCAATTAAAAAAAAATTTTTTTTTAAGTAGTCCTTTTCCAAAGTTCATAATGCAAGTCTGATTTCATTCTTTCCTCCACCCCCAACCCTGAACGTCATGAACAAATACCCGCTCAGATCCACTGAGATGGGCTTCATTCCCACATTTGAGTCGTCAACGACAGCTGACAAGGCTAGGACCATTTGACCAGAGACTGGCATTAGCTTGGATGAAGGAGGGGTTTGTGCTGTGGTCCCTATCATCATTTCTCCAAGACAACCAAAGAGACCCATTCCTTTGCTGGTGGAGATGGCGGTCACAGCGAGGCGAGAGAGACAGCATCTGGCCCCATTAAGGCAAGATGACCTTGTGCAATCTCTACTCTGCGGTAAAGACAGAAGTTACATTTTGCCAGAAATGTGATATTTACACTGGAAACGCATTCATACACTCACCCAGCAAGCATTTAATTGGTATTTAGTGTGAACTGGCAAAGCAAGCCCACATGCTTCATCACTCTACCATTTCCTAGGCACATTGTGATCTTAAGATGTCACACAACCCCTCTGAGCTCAACTTCGTCATCGGTAAGGGGGAAGTAATATCTATCTTGAGGGTTTTTTAAATGAGGATTAAATGAGAAAATGTATTTATTCATGCTGCACATGAGCTCCTGCCACTCTGGGACGAGTCCTAGGCACGGTTCTTCGCTGAAGGACAGAGCAAGACAACGCAATCCATGCCCTCACAGGGCTCAGTCTAGAGATGAGGAGACAGGCAGTAAATAAAGAGACACAGCCGCCTGTTTCAGGCAGATCAGGTGCCGTGGAGGAGACCGCGCCTTTGGGCAGAGCAGTCAGGGAAGGCCTCCTGGAGAAGGTGACATCTGGCCCAAGACTTGATGAGTAGAAGTCAATTGTGCCAAGACTGGGGACAAGAGGAGTCTGGCCGGCCTAGAGCAGATGCCAAACATCTCTGTACACTATGCTGAGGGAGTCCGCAGAGTTTCGATTTGTAAGGATCAAACACCCACGGTCCTTAATTTGACCACCCTTTGATCACCTGACACTAAATGAAGTAAAGATAACCTACAAGGGAAACTCTTCACTGATTCAGACTTTTAGCCATAAGATGCAATTCTGTTCATCAAAACATTTTCAAGTAAGTGAAGTTTTCTAAGATTATCTTTTTAAAATCTTCACACTGAAGCCTTCCTATGGGGCTATAACTTCTTTGCTCTGGAGGAAAACATAAGGCATTACCAGCAGTGGGTGTCTTCAAGGCTGTGCTGCCAGGCTTGAGGATCTTGGTGGGGACCTTGAGCCCGCTGGGTTTGAGCGCACTCATTGTCCCGGTACAGCCGAGCTGCGCTTCCTGTGCCTGCTGCCACTACCTGTCCCCGACCATGAAGACGGCTGTGGGTGCTCCTAGAGGGAAGTCAGTCTCTGGGTTAAATCTGCAGAGAGAAAAACATATAAAGAGTTTAGAATCTATAGAAGAAAAAAGGTAGATACAACAGTTATTATTAAAGCAGCTTTCATAGCTTCAACTTTTTCTTATCTATAATAATAAACCATCGCTGCACTGAACCTACGAACCTAGAAAATTCTCTAGATACTAAAAACACAAAATGCTAATGAGATGAGTTTAAAGCAATTTACTATCCTGAAGATAAGTAGCTAACGGTAGCAATATATTACACATGCAAAGGGGAAAAGAAAAAAAGATGGTCGGTTGGGCTCACTGGGTAGAGTGTCGGCCTGCAGACCGAAGGGTAAGTACCTTGGTTGCAGGCTCCTCCCCGGCTGGGCCCTGGTCAGGGCTCATGCAGGAGGCAACCAATTGACGTGTTTCTCTCACATCGATATTTCTCTCTGTCTTACCCTCTTGCTTCCAGTCTCTCTGAAAAAATCAATGGAAAAATATCCTCAGGTGAGGATTAAAAAACAAACAAACAAAAAATGAGAAGTGACAGGCAGAAAACAAAC